ACCCAGCCGCTCGCTCTGCTGTGCCGGGGGAGGGGGGAAATCCCGGACATTGTGAGTGCTTTACAAATTCCCCCCGGACGCTATTTTTAGAACAAAAAGGAGGACATGTCCGGGTAAATCCGGACGAATGGTAACCCTAGTTCTAGCGCTTCCCCCACCCAGTGTCTGTCCTGTAGATTGTGAGCTCTTCTGGGCAGGGACAGTCTGCTCTTCTGGGTTTGTTCAGGGCTGAGCACGCTGAAGCCCCATTCTTGGTTGGTTCCTAGGCGCTGCCATAATAAATATGGTTAATAATACCGTATATGTCTGCACAAGCTTCTACATTGCAAATGCTTGCACTGGCATTGTGAAAACACCTTGTGGATTGGGTGCTGCACAAGGAAAAACGGGATACTTTGGAAGAGGAGTGGGAGAAACAAAAACCAAGTAAAGACAATGAGTGACAGCAGGAGAGATGGCGTGGGAGTGTGGTTTTGCAACTACCATGAGGAAAGGTGGTTTTACAGCCTGGCCCAATAACCCTTTATAGGGTCACCGGTCTGTTAGAAGTGGGCACAAGTGCTGGGCCCCACGTGTTTCCAAGCTGACTGGGTCTGGACAGAGTCTAGCCACTATATATAGCTCTGGGGTGCTAAGGGACATTCCCAGACTCCACCCTTGTGTCTGATGCCTCTAGTAATAGATTTCCCCTGCCACACACACAAAAGATTAATGGAGGCGATAAGGAGGATGGCACAGGAAATCCCACCCACCTCTCTGCCACCATAAGTCCTGCCTTAACCAGTGATGACAACTCCCTTCTGGGGAATGGCCAACCCCCCAGCTTAAGGCCCCTGACCCTCAACAAGAAGGCCTGTTTTACCTAGCAAGGGAAGCCAATAGGATTTAGTCAATCCTTAAACCAGACCATGAAAAGTTACCATCTCTCTGCTGACAACTCACGAATCTACTTCTCTATACCTGACTAGTCTCCTATCCAAGCTAAAATCTCTACCTGTCTCTCTGACATCTCCATATGGAGGTCTAGCTGTCAGCTCAAACTCAACGTGGCTAAAAGAGAGCTCTTAATCCTGCCCCTCATGACCTCCCCAAAATCTCCTTTCTTGATCACTGTGGGTAATATCACCATCTGGCCTGTGTCTCAGGTCCATAACCTGGGCATCACCTTCAACTTGAACCTCTCTGGAGGTTCTCACATCTAGGCTATGACTAAATCTTCCAGATTCTTTCTGCATAATGTTGCTGTGATATGACTTTTCCTGTCCATCCATGCGGCTAAACTCATGCACTCCTTCAAAAACCTCCTTAAAATGCTCCTTTTCTGCAATGCCGACAAAGAACTTGACAATGGTTAGGCTGCTGGTGTGCTGAGATGACTTCCTAGCCTGCTGACTAATATTGTCTCATTGTTTTCTTGTCCTCCCTTATCAGTCTAGCTGTCTCCACTTCTTGCCTTTTGTCTTGTACTTGGGTTCTATACTCCTTGGGGCAGGAGATGTCTTTTTTTGTTCTGTTTTGTACGGCACTTAGCACAGTGGGGTCTTGGTCCAGGATGAAGTCTCCTGGAAAATGGGTAATACAAATAATTAAGAATAAAAAATAATACTGGAAAGAACACTAAGGGTGGGATTTTCAAAAGCGCCTGAGAAAGTCAGAAGCAGAATTCCCATTTTCAAAATCCCCTGGAGCAAGAGTTCTTCTAAGGTCAGTTGTTTATCATGGACAAGGCTCAACAGGCTGTCTCTTTATTCTGTGCTCTTTATCCCAAACACACAATGATCTCTAAAGGTTTCTACCAGGACAATACAAAACGAGCAAAGGGTGAAAGGCCTTTTTTCCAACTGGCTGGAAGTTCAGAGACATTTTCTTCTTCCATTTTCTTTATTTGAAGCCTACAGCTTCCAGTTCAAAAATTTTGGTTTAGGTTCATAATGTTTTTTCGACCAACTCTTTTTAAAGTCCTACCCTCCACCTCACATGGTTTCTCTGGAAAACAGCTGGCAAGCACTGCCAATATCTGCCACCAGGGTCAGAAAAAAGGACCTTTTTTCTCACTGTCTTTAATGAAAGCACTGATCAAAGCTCTAAACATGGATTTCAAATTATTCTTCTTTTTCATGGCACCTGGAAGCCTTCAAAGTGTTTATAAATGGCCATTTGAACTTCTCTGTGATACCTTTTCCCTCTTTTATCTAAAACCAGGAGACCTCTTCACTGCTGCTTTACTTTACCTGCACTCCTTGTTCTTTTTTACAATCCCCTCCTTGTCTATAACAGTTGCGTTTTACAAGAAAAGGAAAACATTAACTCAGTCTTGAGCAGAGGTTCTCAAATAGGGGTCTGCAGACAACTTGCTGTCAATCTCCAGAGAGCTGGCTAGTTGCATAGTAGTAGGTCTCCATCTTATATCCACCAGTTAAATTGCATTAAGAGAAAATATAATACTTTCCTAATACCACTTTGCCACCTATGCAAGTGCTGTAGTTGCCACAGGGCTGTTACGTGATCATGGATAGCAGTGAGATGGTTAGCACATTTGTCACGGGAAGGCCAATGTGCCAATCTCTGTTCTAAAATGTGGTTCTTACTATGAAAAATATGAAGCCCGGCCTGAGGTGACTATTTTAGACTAAGGAAAACAACAAACATAAAATCTCCCCGAGAGAGAAAGCGGAGTCCCCCTCATTCATTGAGATCCCCCTGAGCCTCGCTCCCAGCAGACAGCAGCACACGTCTCACAGCTAAGGGTTCAGTACACACAAAACAGAATCCTAGCTGCACAGAATCACAGCATCCTCGTTCAGGCCTCCACTTATCGGGGAATGAAATTGCATCTGAGCTAAGAGGAGGTGCGGGCCTCTGACTGTGAAGCACAGCAACATAGAAGATGGAGTGGAAGGGCTGCCTCTTCCAGCGAAGCTCCATACATCCATGCAGGAAAGACTTTTCCCTTTCTAGCACCTTGGCTCAGCTTGTAAACTGCTGGAAGAGGCCGAGGTTGATACTCGCTCTGCTGACCCAAAGGGCAATCAGAAGGGAATACAGAAGCCCAGTCTTTTGCCCACGGAAGTCAATTACAGATGCCCCAGTGATTTCCATGGGTGAAGGATTAAGCCCGTATCAGCTAAAATCAATGATAATTTCCCCCATGAGACTCGCCTAGCCCTGATTGCTGCCTTTTGTTCTGCTCATTTACTATATTAATAGACTGTCAAATTTAGATAATAAAATATCCCTACCCTTCCTGCTGGAGAAAAGAGAAATATGTTTGGTCAGCAAATGCCGCTTCGCCAGAAATGACAAGTTTCAGAGTAACAGCCGTGTTAGTCTGTATCCGCAAAAAGAAGAACAGGAGTACTTGTGGCACCTTAGAGACTAACAAATTTATTAGAGCATAAGCTTTCGTGGACTACAGCCCACTT